ATCTGATAATAATGAAGCCAGTCTCGCACTTTGTTTTTTAATTTCTCAAAACTCTGCAATTTCAGTCTATCTCCATCTTGTTCCAAAATTTCCCAATATTTCGGCCATTTGGCCTCCATATTGAGCTTTTTCAGAGCTTTTGCTTCCATCGGTGACAGCCACCTTGGAGTTTTATTTTCCAATAAGTCCTTGTATCTTATCCAGACATTAAACAATGCTTTCCTGACGATGTGATTTTTAAATGCTTTATGTGCTTTGACCTTATCATACCACAGATATGCATGCCATCCAAATACATTGTTAAAACCTTCTAAATCCAAAATGTCAGTGTTTTCAAGAAGCAGCCATTCTTTCAACCAGCAGAAAGCTGCTGATTCATAGTAAAGTTTAAGGTCTGGCAGGGCAAATCCACCTCTTTCCTTTGCATCTGTTAATATTTTAAATTTTATTCTAGGCTTCTTGCCCTGCCAGCACTGTCCAACCATCTCATCCTCTGTCATCCCCTTCTCCTTGTGCCCTCAATCTTTCCCAACATCAGGGTCTTTTCCACTACCAAAGATGCCTCTTTTTTCTCGATTATATTTCCTTGATAGAGGGTGCCACCCGGAGGCCACCCTTCACAGAACGTAGGAATTGAGACAGCACATAGGAGAGGAAGTGAGCAATTACTAAGCTATTGCAGCTAACAGACTTATAAGGGAAGCGTGTAGTAGTGATACTTTAGTGCACTGTTTTGACATTCGTTGGGGGGCGGGATTTTAATCAGGGCACAAAAAGCATAATGGGGGTCAAAAATTTAAAAATAATTCTGGAAAACCTTGCAAATTTACTGTAATCTGTCCTCACATTATACACCCCACTAATCTATTTAAAGCCATGTGGAATTAATTCATTGATTTCATCTTTATTTGCCTTAATTGAAACCAGATCTAACTTGGCAGTTTCACTTGAGTCGTCTGTCAAGCAGCTGAGCTAGTCCTTTTCCAAAAAGCCAAGGATCCCAAAGGGGCCCTTGTGGAGCTGGGCATTCTAATCATTCCTGATTCCCCCATGGCTAGTGTAATTAGCTACATTGCTACATTTCTTTTTTTAAAAAAAAATAGCTTTGCTTTCTTGTTTTTCCCCAAGCCATCAAATTGGTAAACAGCAACAGCCATATTCACTAGGAGTCAAATCTTTGCTTTGAGGTTCAGTTTGGAGAAACAAGAACTGCCTGTCTAGCCAATCAAATACCATGGAATAACAACTCTTGCATGCCAGCCTCTCACTTACGGCAGATCTGCATGAATTTAATGCACATTCAATGCACATTTAAAGCACATGACTTCTTGCAAAGAATACAGGGAACTGCAGTTTGTTAAGGGTGCTGGGGCTCGTAGTTCTATGAAGGAAAAACTATAGTTCACAGGATTATTTGGGGAGGGGGAGTCATCGGCTTAAATGTATGGTATGGATATGCCCTTGGCTATACATTCAAAGGATGAAGTAGGGTTGCTTCACACATTATTCCAGTTGAACCTGGAAAATGTAACATGTAGCTGAGCTCTGAATTATCATGGGATTCTTGAATAATAGCAAGCTTGTGATATTAACTGCCCTGAGATAAGCAACTTCTGAACCATCATCATGTCAATAGGCCCCGAGCTTCCTTGGATTCATTAGATATAAGAGGGGCAACTTCTAAGCCATTTTAGCAAAGGGAATGCTTTTGGTTAACTGCACCTTTCATAGCCCCTCAGGCAGAGAGGTCACAGAAAGGTTTGGCAAGACCCAGGCTAATTACTTCAATTGTTCCTCTCCCTCCTCCCTCCTCCACCCCCCCAGCCCCCACCCTGGCTCTTTCCATGCACAAGACGTAAATAGAGAGATTGTGAAAATTTATTGAAAATATTGCAGGCAGTTTTCACTGATTGTTTTATGGTTCATTAAAAACAGACTGAAATTGGAATGTGTGTCGTTCAACAGAGATTGAGCTGTTTCTCATTGTTGTACTGTACACGCCACATTTTGCAAGATCTGCAAGTGACTCAAACTCATTAGTGTCTCCCTGGCGGTTTTTGTCCCCAGGGATGAAATCCACCAGCATAATCAGATATAGTATTCTAAATTTCAACATAGCCGAGTTCAGAGTATTGTTTGTGCAGCCTTTCCTCCTGCCGAATGCTTACAGGAGAGTTTCCAACACTTCCAGCTGTGGCTCTGATAAGGTTGTTCGTAGCACTGCCTGTCTACTCTCCTGATTCAAGTATCACTTTTCTGATTAACTTAAGATACTCTTGGAGGTGGCCCAAGGCACTAAAACAGTTCAAGTGTTTTAAGGCAGCTTTAGTGGTTAACATGTGTTAAAACATTTGGCAGTGTCTTAACATTTAAGGCTACCTGTAAACTATAGGAGAGGAATGGGGGAAGGAGAGAGGAATGCAATTGTAGCAATAGAATCCCTTGTTCAAACACTTGCTCAAAATATGTGTGAAAAGAAAGACTCTAACATTCTTATTATTTAACCTCTGTTCTTAAAATTGAACCACAATTGGGGAAGACTAGCTTTTAATAAAATGGGGCTGCCACATAGGAATCTAAGAAGGTATTGTTTTCTGTTCTGCCTTGTACTTTTTGCATGTAGCAATGTTTCTGTTCCACTAAGTTCATCTTAAGCCAAAAACTACATCATCTGTCCCGCTGACCACTGTGGCAAAATTATGTAACATACATAATGTACATAAATTGTGTGAGTTATGTGGCCACTATTCCATTAATTTCAATGCAAATGGGGAAAAGCCATAATCTATTGTGTATTGTTTGAGGACTGAAAGCAACAACAACAGCAAATTCTAATCATATTCACATGATTGATTTCCATCCTGGACATGGGATGGATAAGTGAACATCAACCTTTTTTGCTCCCGTTTCTGTTTTCGTTGGACTCTTCCGAAATCCCTACTGTCACAAATACTTCTAGTTTGGTCTAAAATATTTGAAAATCAGGGAAAAGATAAGACATTAAACTGTAAGAGTTGACCTCACATGCAAATAAACATGATTTGTATGTCAGTCACCATGCCCACGGTTAGATATGATCTGAGAGCGCAGGAACAATCAAAACCACTTTGATCAAACTGTTTCCCAAATTTGCACACCCCTGTAAGAAATATTGAACATAACAGGGTTCAGTTACAGGCTTTTCTTGTAGCTGAAATCTGTTTAAATGTATCTGAGAAGGAAATGTTAGGTTTATTTTAGCATTGTCCTGCTAACATCCTATTCACTGTCTTCTCTGTAGCTCATTTGAAGCCTTGTATGATCTCAGTGTGGCATGTCAGGGTCCTTAGCACTGAGAAATCGCTGCTTTGATTGGGCCTGAATCATATGGATCTACCGTCAGCTTTCAATGAGGGCCAGGTGCTGTTGTTCGATAAACAGTGGATGTATAGTTGACCTGTGTATAGGATACCCATCAATCACAAAGTGATTGATATGCTGCATCCATAGGTACCAAACACTATCAAGGAGCGGGATCTACCAAGGGCGCCATGTGGCTCTCTTGTATGGTTTAAAGTGAGAGAGCTGATGTTTCTTTTCTGTCTCTTAACATTGTGCTCAGCTGCTGCTGACAATGGATCCCTCCCCACTACCTGGGTTGTTCATGAATTCAGCTGGACTCCATTTCTTCACTTCCACCTCCCCAGGCAGGTTTATGGCCCTGACTGTCCCCATTTCCCTTTCCACTGCCACTTCTAGTTTGGTTTAAAGTGCTTGGAATTCAGGGAAGAGAAAGGACATAAAGCTGTATGATCCTTTGGCCCTTTGTGGTTTACTTCCCAGATGTGGTCATGTGGTTTAATGATATATAAGATGCATAGCATCTTCACTTTACTCCTTGGCAGTTGAAATAATAGGCTATTGAAGCTCAGGGACAGCCCTTACATTGCTACAGTTAACAGAGCTAGGGTAGTAGTTTAGCAGGGCAAAAAACCTTGCCTTTGAGTTGGAACTTAGTCAAGTCAGGACCCCTAAAGCCATGCTCCTTGTAGCCTCTCATTAATGCACAGGCTGGAATAAAAAAGATGTAGAAAATGGGGACATAGGAAGCTATCTTATATTGAATCCGGCTCTTGGTCCTTCTAGCTCAGTCTTGTCTACACTGGCTGGAAGCATCTCTCTGGGGTTTCATAACTGCATTGCAAAATTTTGAGAAGTGCGAATTTTGGAGGGTGGTTGTCAGTGCTTTTTTCTTTTAAAAAATGTTTAGGGGTACTCTCATTTTGACTAAAGAAAATCACCATTTTATAGTTCAAATCAGGAAAAATAAATACAGTAAATGGACAAAAGTACAAAGATTCACAAAATGTTTGCGTCCCCCCAGAAAAAAAGCACTGGTGGTTGTGTTTCAGTTCATGTAGCTTTCCCTTTTTTGTTTCTAGTTCTGTATCTGAACAATATATATACAATCGTACCTCGGAAGTCAAACGCCTTGCGAGATGAATGTTTTGGCTCCTGAACGCCGTAAACCCGGAAGTGATTGCTCTGATTTGCAAAAGTTATTTGAAATCCGAATGTCCGTCACGGCTTCCGTGGCTTCCGATTGGTTCAACTGTATACTGTTTTGAATCAGTGGGAAGGAAATAAACTATGCCAGCTCTACTATAAGCTGGTGTAGTTTATTGCCTGTGGTGGGAGCATGTCAGAGAAACTGGTGGACTGTGGAACATGTGGTTCCACAGTCTCTTCTGCCCCCTCCGCATGTCTCCCTTCTTGCCCTTCCCAAAGTCAGAATGCTGGTTGTTGTTTTTTTGTTTTTTTATAAGATATTTATTAAGATTTTCAGAATATTACAGAATAAAGAAAGAAAAAAGAAAAATACAAAATAAAAATGGTTAAAAACAATTCTTTCTTTTGATTACTTATCTTTCATTTGCTTACTTCCCGGACCTTCTCACGCCTCCCTTTTTTGTATTCCAGTTTAGTTTGTTGGTTCAGCAAATCCCTCCCCTCTTTGTATATAATAATAATAATAATAATAAATTTTATTTATATCCCGCCCTCCCCAGCCGAAGCCGGGCTCAGGGCGGCTAACAACAATAAAACAGTACAAAAGTACAGCATAAACAACAGTCTAAAATCATTCGTTATAAAATTAATTAATTCAAGCCACTGGCAACTATTGGGCCAGAGCTCCGCGAAGATTGCCGAGGGAGGGAGTCAGGCTGTGCCCTGGCCAAAGGCCTGGTGGAACAGCTCTGTCTTGCAGGCCCTGCGGAAAGATGTCAAGTCCCGCAGGGCCCTGGTCTCTTGTGACAGAGTGTTCCACCAGATCGGAGCCACAGCCGAAAAAGCCCTGGCTCTAGTTGAGGCCAGCCTAACTTCTCTGTGGCCTGGGACCTTCAAGATGTTTTTATTCGAAGACCGTAAGTTTCTCTGTGGGGCATACCAGGAGAGGCGGTCCCGTAGGTACGAGGGTCCTAGGCCGTATAGGGCTTTAAAGGTTAAAACCAGCACCTTAAACCTGATCCTGTACTCCACCGGGAGCCAGTGCAGCTGGTATAGCACCGGATGAATGTGGTCTCGCAGCGAAGACCCCGTAAGGAGTCTCGCTGCAGCATTCTGCACCCGCTGGAGTTTCTGGGTCAGTCTCAAGGGCAGCCCCACGTAGAGCGAGTTACAATAATCCAGTCTGGAGGTGACCGTCGCATGGATCACAGTGGCTAGGTCAGGGCGAGAGAGGTAAGGAGCCAACTGCTTAGCTTGGCGGAGATGGAAAAATGCCGCCTTTGTTATAGCTGCAATCTGCGCCTCCATGGAAAGGGAGGTGTCGAAGATTACACCCAAACTCTTAACGGACGGTGCTGGCACTAATTGCGCCCCGCAAGAGATGGGAGTTGCCCCCAATCCCATATCGCCCCGTCCCAGCCACAGGACCTCTGTCTTCGAAGGATTTAGCTTCAACCGGCTCCCACGTAACCATCCAGCCACAGCTTCCAAACATCTGGTCAGTGTGTCTGGGGCCGAGTCAGGATGGCCATCCATCAACAGATAGAGTTGGGTGTCATCGGCATACTGATGGCAACCCAGCCCAAAACTCCGAACAAGCTGGGCGAGGGGCGCATAAAGATGTTGAAAAGCATCGGGAGAGTATCGCACCCTGAGGTACTCCACACACCAAGGAGTGGCGCGATGACAATTCCCCCCCCAAGCGCCACCCTCTGTCCCCGACCAGAGAGAAACGAGCGCAGCCATTGAAGGACTGTGCCCTGGATCCCCACGTCGGCAAGGCGGTGGTCCAGAAGTTCATGATCGACCATGTCGAAAGCTGCTGACAGATCTAGAAGAATCAGCAGCCCCGACCCGCCTCGATCCAGCTGTCTACGAAGATCATCTGTTAGGGCAACCAGAGCCGTCTCGGTCCCATGACCAGCGCGGAAGCCGGACTGGAATGGATCCAGAGCCGATGTTTCATCCAGAAAACCACCAAGCTGTTCAGCAACCACTCTCTCAATCACCTTACCCAGGAACGGAAGATTCGAAACCGGGCGGTAATTGGATAGATCTAAAGGATCTAATGATGTTTTCTTTAAGAGCGGGCGCACCACTGCCTCCTTCAGTTCCCCTGGGAATGTCCCCGTGCCAAGGGACAAATTGATGATATCCCCAGGAGGGCCCGCACCTCGTCTGGACATGCTCTAATCAGCCAAGACGGGCACGGGTCGAGAGGACAGGTGGTGGGCTTTCCAGCTCGGAGGAGTCTGTCCACATCGGCTGGGGATATCCGGTCGAAGTGGTCCAATACTGGACCCGAGGACAGTCGAGGGGCCTCCAGTTCCTTTATTGTATCCAAATTGGCCGGGAGGTCATGGCGGAGCAACAAGACCTTCTCCGCAAAAAGCTCGCAAATGCCTCACAGCTGTGTGTCAAATTGTTATTTAAATTTGGCTGTCCCTCAAGGGACGTTAAAGACCTGATTATACTAAATAATTGTGCTGGGCGAGAGCTAGCGGATGCAATGGAGGCCGAGAAGTATGACTTCTTAGCAGCCTTCACCGCCATCTCGTAGGTTTTCATAAAAGCCCTATAAGATGTTCTTGAGGCTCCGTCACGGGCACCCCGCCATACTCGCTCTAGCTGTCTGAGGTCCCGCTTCATTTTCCGGAGCTCCTCGGTAAACCAGGGAGCCCGGTTTCTGCGGGGTCGCAGAGGGCGCTTAGGTGCGATCTCATCAATGGCTGCCAGGAGCTGGGTATATCCTAGTCGTTAATCATAAAGTATTGTAACATTGAATTTTTACCTATTAATAATCCATTTTTTCATATTCCCTTATAACATTACAGCTAAAGACCACTTAGTTTCTATCCAACATCATTCTAACATTCATTAATTTTGCAATATTTCTGTAAATAGTCTTTAAACTTTTTCCAGTCTTCTTCCATCGACTCTTCTCCCTGGTCTCGGATTCTGCCAGTCATTTCCGCCAATTCCATATAGTCCATCACCTTCATCTGCCATTCTTCCAGAGTGGGTAGATCCTGTGTCTTCCAGTACTTTGCAATAAGTATTCTTGCTGCTGTTGTGGCATACATAAAGAAAGTTCTGTCCTTCTTTGGTCAAAACAACCAGCATTCAGACAAATTACAAATCAGAATGCTGCTTGTTTTGACCTTTCTGCAGCCTCATAAAAGAAACATAGGAGTGGGATCTCCCTTTCTGTTCTTGGAGAGAGAGATCTGATAAATTCTATGAACCCTAGGATGCCTTCCTACCGACCATTAGCAACATTCTTAAAATGCACTGCTCTTTTTTGTTCTTTTTGTAATTTATTCTTGAAACATCTTGAAACGTATCAAAGAATAGGCCATTTCAACCTTGTACCTTGCTTATCTATCAGATCCTATCACATCTTGGCTATAATATATTGTCAAACGATAATCGCTACCATATAATTGCTGGTGTCAAACACTGTTGCTGAATAAGAGCCAATATTTGGCAAATAACCACCATCCAAATTTTCAAAGGATAGCTTTTGCAAAGATTTGCTTGGAGCAAATTCATTTCAGCTCTGTGCCTGAAAATGAGTCCTGCGCAACCACACCACCCCCTTCTCATTTATTGTACCCAATTACATCATCTTCTGAACAATTCTTGTACCCTGAATGCAACATGCATTTCAGAAAAAAGGGGGAGGATAATAATAGTTTAGCAGAAGTCCCCCTTACTCCCTCATCCCAGTCCTGATTTTTGTGCATCGAACAGACATACTCACATTTTTGAGATTACATCAAAGAGGCAGGGCTACTTGAATAGACTTGAATCTCGAAATCTCAGCTGCCTAATATTGTTAGACCTCCTAACATTGTTATGACACACTTTCCCCTCCATTCCTTCCATATCTTACGATTCACAGACAATGAGTTTATCCCTTTAAAACCTTCACATCTACAGATTACTACCCTGAGCGTTCCACATGTTGAGAATCTGCAGCATGGTGTGGTGACAGAGAGCTATGGAGCTACTTTTGAGCAGCTATTGGATAAATATCCATCACCAATTGACTGATATGTGACCCACAGGTACCACATACATTACCTAATGACCAGTCACTTAATTATAGACTAGGTGACATGTTTATAAGGGTGAACTTTAGAGTTCTATTAGAGAATGGACAGATGAACTATACTGATGCCCTCCGGGTAGATTTCACCCAGCCTCTGCTGCCTCGGCGGACCCATTACATGGTAATTAGGGCGATTTTTAAGTAGGATGCAAAGAGTTAAATGACTACCCTTGTTATTGCTTCATTTGTCACGGTGGTAAGTGCTGCTTTGGTAGGGAGCTGGAAGAGAAGATGTGGGGAGAGGGGGAAAGAAAGCAAAAGAGAGTGGATGAGAGAATGAGCATGTAAAAAAGGGGACAGGGATGCTTGTTTTAAATTAATCTTTGCGTGTTCAGACCCAGAAACCTCCCCCCTAAATAAATTCACACTTGACTCAAATTTTGTTTTTTTGCAGAATTCAGGCCACAACTTTATTGATTACAGAAAGTGATTGGTTGCATAGGCTCTGGTTTGACCAGCTCCCTGCCATGCAGGTAGAGCTGACCCAGGGTTCCAGCATAGGTCAGCCAAGGGTGAACACCTGGATAAGCGGGAAGCCGGGAACAGGTTATCTCCGCCACCCAAATGTCCCCCTGGACTCAGGCATGGGCACAACCCCCTCTCAGGGGTTTACCAAGGTATCGAGTCCCCAGATTCCTTTAACAGAATACCCTTCACTTAGGGATGGTGAGAGCATTCTCCCATCCCTATCACCTGAACCAGAGCCTATCCGCAACCTTACAAGTTGTGACGATTTGCTACACGGCAGGCGAAACCCAAATGGCACCAGCCAATCAGCCAAGTGGGGAAAATTCCTTCCGTGCCCCTGTCCCAACGACAGACAACACACGACAGCATAGCAAGGTCAAGCGCAAAGCCCTAAAAGTAGGGAGAGGTGGGCAGGTGTTCTGAATGCACACGCCGAAAGAGGAAGCTCTGGGTCACGTGCATGGGTATAAATAGGTCCCTTGAACCGTTTGGACTGTGTCCCATTGGCCAGATTGCACCCAGCTACAAGGGACCTACCAATTGGGTGTTGTGGCTGATCAATCATACCCACCCACAACACAGGGTGTCGGTTTTCCAAGTCTCACCACAATAAGTGCCCTTTTTAAGGGAGGACCCGATTTCCCCAAATTTGATCTTTCACTAAAAGTCTATTGGGGCCTCCAAAAAAAAAAATTGTTTGTAATCCAAAAAAATGGGTTGTAATCCAAAAAAAGGTGGCAAACCAGGACACGCACTTCCGGGTTTGACATGTTTATAATCCAAAATGTATGCAAACCAAGACGTATGCAAACCAAAGTACCACTGTATTATAAACTGCCTGATGGACCGTGTATATATGTTTTAAATAAAGAATATTGTTAGGATCACTATGGACCATATTTGTGCCAAACATCAGCTAGAATCTCTTCACCTGATAAAAATGCTGATTGAAACCCTTCCAAGGGTTTACAGGTGTCTATTGGGAATGGGAAAGAAATTGGTTCAGTCCTACCTAATTCATACTTTCCGAATGAACAAGTGAACCTAAACACAGCTTTCCTTCAAAACTTGTACTTCTCTGAATTTTGTGATGCAGTTCTCTCTCTGAAAGACACGGAAACTGACAGATTTGTGCATTTCTAGCGGAACTCTGGACCAGTCAGGTCTAGACCTTGGTGTGTATGTGTTCAGCAGGCATTTGAAAAGTTGTAGATTGATTTCTAACCTTTATATTCTTTTAGTGAGCCTTTGGAGTCTGAATAGTGGCTTATAATCAATTTCAAAAAATGCAGCGTTAAATATGCACATTCAGTCACAGTAAATGTGAAAGATATGCAAGTTCTGAACTGTTTGCAGAGAGGAAACACCTTGAAATGCTCTGGGTATAGCA